CAGACAAACTCACCATCCAGTAACTGCTGGCCCCAGAAGTGAGCTTCTGGTGGGTGACTTAATGGTTTTGAAATCTCTATTCAGACAAAAAATCTGTGCCTGGGTACCTTGTGTTTCACCCTGCTAGAGCAATTCTGTTCTGATAGCAAGTCTGTTCCCTTTCCTCCTTCTTGAAGATTGGAAGATGTGGGCTGGGGATGTAGCTCAGTGGTGGAGGCAAGTGTAAGGTCCTGGGTTCCATTCCCAACACTACAAAAAAAAGGAAGGCAGACCATTATGGGGTCCTATGGCTCAGCCCATCAATTCACATGGTCTACTGATGATTCCTGGGTGCTCAGGGCCAGGTGGAATTGCTTAGGGTGGTGAAGTGGGGGATGGCATGGCATCCCAATGATCACTGAGAGAGCAAGAAGGCAGGTCTTCCTCTCCCTGTGCTCTGAGGCTGGACTTGACCCAATTAAAAGCAGCTTGTAAAGAGCTGGGGATTTAGCTCAGTGGTAGAGTGCATGCCTAGCATGACCGTAGGTTCAATACACAGCAGGGAGAAAAATAAGTTTGGATTTTGGATGGGGGGAGGTACTCTGTCAGTTCTGGGAGGTGGTGCCCTGCCATCCTGCAGACTCACTGCCCCATCTGTAGATGAGGCTCCCTGGGTGAGAGGCAGCAGCTCTACGTGACCGGGTAAAGAGTGGGATGGGGCCCTGCTGGAGGGAAAGCTGTGCAGGGCACCAGCTTCCTGCTGCTCCTCAGAACTCTTCTCTGTTCTCTCATGAATACATTTATGCCAAGAGGGCTGGCAGTTCAGCCATGGGATGGGCAGGGTTCTGCATCACACACACAAGCCTCAGGAAATGGACAGCTGAATATTTATCATTTGGATTGCTGTGGCCTCGGGGCACTCTGAACTCCAAAAGAACTTCCAGGACTTTCATTTTTACCCCAATGATCTTGACGTTTGTGTGCCTGGCCCTCCCAGTGTCTACATTTGTGATATTTTCCCTTGCTAAGATAGTGTTTCAGAGAGGCAGGTTTGGTAAGATACATTTCCTCTCTGATAAAATACATTAAAATATATTTCCATTCTAAATAAGTTGGTGCCTGTTTTGAATTAATCACCATGATGCACACTAATTAGCTATACATGAGTCTGCAAAGAGAGTTTTTCTTTCGGGCGGGAGCTTGCTAATTCTGTTTAATGTCGTACGGTGGCCTGTTCTGATTGCCTGAAGATTTTCTCCAGAAATCAGACTTCTACACTCTCACAGTGGGTTTTTAGATTCCTCTCTAGATCTCTGTCTTCTCTTTCCCTCCTCTTCCCCTCCCTTGCTCTCTCTGTTTCTTCCTCCCCCTTTTTCTTTTTTCTCTCTCTTCCTTCCTGCCTTCCCCCTCCTACTGTCAGGATCCTGCCTGGCCCACTTGTAACTAGCATCACTATCGCTGTACTCTGAGATCACAGCCCCTTTTCTTTCCCTTCTCTGTTCCACCCTCAAAAGGTTTTACAACCAATAGGAGAATTTCTTTTCCTGAGCCACCTCCTGTTTGGAGAATTCTGACATTGCTGCTGTGTGTGAGTACTGAGACTTATTGCTCTTCTGACCAGGAAGACTTTAATGACTCCTCCTGACTCCCCTGTGCAAAATCTTTTGGAATAAAACAAGCATGCTGTGGCTTTGAATAAAAATGGGGAGATTCTATTTTGTGGTGCAGGGTTCAAAGTTAGGACTAGTGTTTTCCCAGGGGCCAGTAATTAATGACAGAGGCATGTGGGTAGGCAAATTAAAAAACAAAACAAAACAAAACAACTCTCCATTTTAGATCTGTGCTTAACTAATGGGCTAGACTTAACACCCTCCATTGGAACCTGTAAATATCTGTCAAACTGTCTTTCTAGAGCTATGGTTCTCAAAGTGTAGTCCCTGGACCAGTATCATCTGCATTACTTGTGATTTTTTTTTTCAGTGCTAGTGAAGTAATACCAATTCTTGAAACCTGCCCCAGACCCACTGAAAGAGCAAATGTGTGTGGGCTCTCCAGGCAACGAAGATTCACACTCAAGTTTGAGAACAACTACTTCTGAGTGCAGACCACCTCTGCCATTATGTCTGCAATGTCAAATGTAAAGTTCTCCTATACAACACTGGGAAATGCATGAAAGGAACTGAAATCAGAACACATTGGCTGAACCCATAACCACCATGACTTAATGCAGATCTGCAAATAGAATTGAGATCCCTATGCTTTAATTTTGATCTGGATGTCACTTAAAGACCTGAGTGTTAAAGGTTTGGTCCTCTGCCCTTGGTGTTATTAGGAGGTGAAGAGTCTTTAGTAGCTGGGGCATAGTGGGAGGTCTTCAGGTCAGTGGGGGTTGCCCTTAAAGGGGATGGTGGAATCCCAATCTTCTTCCCTTTCTAACTCTCTGGTCATGAAGTGAGCAATTTGTTCTACCACCCCCATGTACTTCTGCCAGGATGCTCTGCCTTACTGCTGTCCTGAATGGAATGAGGCCTATTGATCATGTTTGGCTAAAACCTCCAAAATTTTGAGCCAAAACATACTTTTCCTCCTTATGAGTTGATTATCTTAGGTATTAATTATGATGATGAAAAGCGGCTAACTGACCCCACATCATAAGGATAGGGCCTTTTCCTTAACTAAAAATAAATAAAAACAATTCTTTCACAAAATAATCAAATGTCTTTTTATAAATCATTTTATTATGTCAATGAATAGAAAACTAAGTGTTCAAAATACATTTGATAATTGAGGGATAGGCTGGGGATATAGCTCAGTGGTAGAGCATTTGCTTAGTATGTAAGAGGCCCTAGGTCCAATCCTCAGCACCAAAACAAACAAACAAACAAAACCCAGTGACATTTACCCCCAGTTAAGTTAGTTAATTTATTTTCACTTCTAAAAGCAATGAAGTGCTTCTTTGAGAACTTACTACGAATGCTGGAGCAACATTTAAGACTAAGCACTGCATGCTTCTCGAAGAAAGGGGGGAGAATCGGAGAGAAGAAAAAGAAAAGAACTAGATATTAACTTGTCTTTGAAGGAGGGGCAGTTAGGAGAAAAGCAATTTTGACTCGAAGAGAAACGAACAATAACCTTAGCTAGGGAGAAATCTAGAAACGTACCAAGATGGCTAGTCAGGATTCTAGCACCTACTAAATATGGTCAGGACTGTCCATGAATCTCCATCACGTTTCAGGATGACATTAATCGAATCTCCATCAGGTTTCAGGAACACATTAGAAAGAGTAAAACAGAAAACACCAAAAAAGTATTCCCTAAAACCGTAAAGTATAATTCCTCAAAGTGAGATATTCTAAATGTTTGTCATCAATACACCACGATATGGGTCATTTTGTAAAGTTGCTGGAGTTCTTTACAGGACCGGCGATCCCCATGCGTGGGTCTCCTTGTACCACCAGGGGGCGCGCTGGCCCTCCCAATGCGGTCAGTCAGACAGACGCGGAGTTTTTGTCTTTGAGGTCCTGTCATTCTCTGTATAAACAAGTTACGTTCAAGTGTTTAGGATATAAATTACGACCATGCCGGCTGCCTCGGAAGGAATGTAAACACAGCACTGTGGTCGGAGCAAACTCTGAAACTGACTTCATAATTTATAGCAGGCCCCCGAGTAGCTCAGTGTAAAAGAAAAGACAAAAAAAAAAAGAAAAGAAAAGAAAAAAGAAAAAGAAAGGGGGCAGGGGTGTGTGTGTGTGTGTGTGTGTGTGTGTGTCCCTATTTAACTACAAATATAATAGACAAAATAAAATGTTTAAATCACAGCTTAATTTTTGTAAAATAGAGGAAGGAAGATTAGGAAGATGACTTTTTAAAATAAGATGTTTTACTCAGGAGACAGTCCCTGGACTGAAATTCACTTGGAACACCAAAATCCCCAACATATAAGAGTTCTCCAGAGTGGTACTAAGTGCCTAGTAATGGATTAGCAGGAAGACCTTTCAGGGGCTCAGAAACAAAGGTGAGTATCCCACTCAGTAAAAGCAAAAAAAAAAAAAACAAAACACAACAACAACAACAACAAAAAAACCAAAGATCCAGATCTGAGTTGAACAGAAAAACCACCACAGTGTGATTATGGCTGAACATTTCTCTGTTCCTGCTCAGAGAGTGAAGGAAAGGTCAGACAGAGAGGATGGTCTGGGGAAGAAATAAGGCCTTCTATTAGTTGTCTGTTTTTGTTTGTTTGTTTTTTTCTTTCTTTCTTTTTAATCCAGAGCTTTACCAGCTCTTTGTGTTGTGTTCATGATTGGGAAGCCCAACAAGAGAAGGAAAAAAAGGGGTTAAAGGAACCCCTGAGCGAAACCTCTGTTAAAACTGGGTGTCAGCTTTAAACTCCCAGATGCTTGGGGTTTCCTTCACTAACCCTCAGCAGCCTTCCCCAAGAACCCTTCAGTACTGTCACCAGCCATAATAAAACTGCAACCTGCCAAGGAGACGCAGGTCCCGTCCTTTGGGCACCTTACCCTCACTGGGCTGGTAAGCCCCAATCACACAGGTGCTAGATGACGGCTTACCACTCTGCCCCCACATCTTCCCCCACCACCTTGACCTGGTGAGGAGGAGGAAAGAACAAAGAACAGAAATCTTTTGGGGCACAGGAAAGAAAACAAAAGGGACACAGAGCTTGTTTCCTCAAATCAGACTGTCCGCCTTTCTTTATCTTTCCTGGTTTTCATTTAAGTTCCTTTCACCTTCTGTTTTTTGTTTAGCCAGAAAAAAAAAGTGAGGGTGAAGTAGAGAAAGAAATAACAGAAAGCATTCCCTCTTTTTTCTCCTGAGAAGACCCATAGTCACAACCTGGCCTGTGTTACTCAAGGCACAGACCCCACACCACATCAATTATACAATGTGGGGGTGGGCAGGGTAGAGTTGCAATGCTGGATGGGGGTTGTGGGGTGGGGGAGAACCTGGCCACTGATCCATCCATAGCAGGGTGCCTGTAGAGGAAACAGATCCCGAAAACAACTACTTGTTATATACATTTTATTGAAAAAAAATTTTACATCAAAATATTTTTTGGCAAACTGTAAAAGTATACATAAGTGCAAATATATCCTCCTTTTAAAATACAAGCAAAGTGTGAGTATACACGAAGATCATAAAAATATCTTTAAAATATGGTGGTAGAAAACAACCTTGTAAAAATGTTGTATTGTCACAATACTGAGAACCATTTTCTTAAAATAGATGTGGTTGGTTCTAAATCATTTCTTCTTAATGTTCTTTGGCACCTGTATACAAACCTAGTGTTTGGGGGGGGGGGAACAGAATTCTCCTAACTAGCTAGGCAACAAGATGAGGCTTTCTTGAAATCTTGTGCTTAGCACTGCCTTTTTGAAAAGCACACAAGTTTTCATAGACCAAGAAAAAACACACACATACACGCAACTTGTCTGCTTTTTTTCAGACCCTGATTACTGAAGGCAATGGCCATCCCAGAGTTTTAAGTTTTTACCATCCCTTAGTTCATGCTCTCCCTCATCTGGTGCATTATCTTGCCAAGGTTTTCTCTCTTCCAATGGTAGGCAAAAAATCAGCATACGAGGCTTTCCTGGGCATTCAGGCTAAGTGACAGAGTGCTACTTACTGCTATCCGCGTGCACATTGTGTGAGTCCTTCGAAGTTCCTATCTGCCCCTTAGGGGAAGATGAAAAGAGAAGAGAGAGGGCCTTCATGTGGCCTTTGTCCATTCACATGACACAGGGCTTAATATCCTGACACACGCTCTGGTGGTGATGGTGATAATAAGACCCACTTGCCGAAGGATGGAAAGAAGAAATGCCATTGAAATTGAGGACGAAATCTTTTCTGTCACACACTGGAGTTGAGTGATGCTGGTAACGAGGCAGTCCCACTGAAAGAAGTAAGAGAGAGGGGGGGCTCATTTCAGACACAAAGTCACCCAACTGATGACGGGGTGCATTGTTTTTAAAATTTCAATTTACCGCATCTTAATTTTGACTCAGGGTACAGAACTGTTGGTGTGTTCTTTTGGTGCATTGCTGATGCAAGAGGGGTAGATAAAACCCAGCTCTGAAAAATCACTGTTTCAAACTATCTGTCCTTAGTCCTTAGATGCCTCTGGAATCATGTTTTGGTGTGGTCTGAGGCAAGAGCAAGATCTCTTGTATTCCTGAATTCCCATATCACTCTGAGGCTGGGGGTCAGAGCTGTGGTCTGAGTCCGGTGAGCGCAGGCTGAGACCACAACATCCAGGCCCTGAATCCTGGGTGCAGTGCGGGACCAAGCGCCCTCCCCCAGAACCATCACTGCCCTCTTCCCCTCTCGCTTTGAGCTTTATTTTCCAATTGATTGGCCTGGTAAGAGTAGTGAGCAGCACAGGGATGGTTCCCTGTGCCAAAGGGGGATGACAAAAAATAATTCCATTGCAAGAGAAAGGGACAGGAAAAGTAAGTGCAGCTCTCTTCTGTCCACAAGCGGCTTCAGTCACAATAGTCTTAAGACTTCATCTAGAGAAGCCAGGACTTTGGGGACAGAGAAATGCTCCTCAGGGAAGGCATATAGCAGCACAAGGAGATTTTGAGGGAGCCTCATGCTAGTAGAGGATGGTGAAGGCCTATACCTTGCTCCCCAAGCACTGCTTCTCCGCCCAGGGCCTGAGCCTGGCGCTTCTCAGCACCGACCCGCCGCCCACTTTTGCTTTTGCTTTCTCGGCGCCTCTCGGCGGCCCGACCCCGGAGCGCAATCGGTCAAAGGTGTCCGGCAAGCTCTAGGTCCCAGCATCTCCTGCCTCCGCCTCTTTTTGGTGCCAGGCTGGGTAAGGCTCATTTGCTTGGTTCATTTGTGGTCACCCTGGTGGTGTGGGCAGCATAAACCACACATTCATGCCGGGGGCCGGATTCAGTTTTTCAGTAGAAGAAAAACCCCGTACCTGGGACCAATGAGGGTTAGGCCCTGTTCGCGTCGCCCCAGGCTCCTGCGGAGAGACCAGGCTGCTCAATGGCCGGCGACTCGGTCCTGGCGGTCGTCTGCGTGCTAGCTGCTAACAAAAACTGCGCTGCTTTATTAAAGCAACCGCTGACCTACGCGTCCCGGACCCGTGCGGTTTGCCCTGCACACAGGTGCGTTCGCTCAGCACGCTAATGCCAGTTCCTGGACCTCGAAAGAGCAGGCTCCTGCAGGGCAGAGAGCAAGAGCTCATGCCTCCAAACAGTCTTCACTTTAATGTGCTGCGCGGGATGACAAAAATCCGAGACACTACTATCTCGGGGCTGAGTGAGAGCGCGAGGCCACTCGGGCCCCTGCGGGCCTCGCTGTCCGAGGTCTCTTAACACACCCGCCATGGTCATGGGATCGGAAAATGGGACAGCATGGAAAGCGTGGGTGAGCTGAGGGCGGGAGGGTAGTGCTGTGTGCGTGTGTATGTGGGCACACTCGCTGAACTGTGGTGGACGTCCTCAACCCTGTCCGGCCTCCCGGCCTTCAGTCTCAGTGGGTTCCAAACCAGGCCCAGTTAGAGCCGGGCGCACCCAGTCTGCTCCTTCCTCGCAAGCCCGATTGGGAGAAGCCAACAAGACCGGGAAGACAGCAAGAGGAGGAAGGAGCATGCTATGGTCTCCTGTGCACACTGGGCTCAAACCAAAGGTCCCCGGGCCTCAGAGTGATACAGGAAGGCCTGAGCTATCGAGGGCCTCCAGAGCGTTCCCAGACAGAGAGTTCCCAGGAAGGTCAGCCCCGGGAGGTGATGGGCTGGAGCCCGGAAGCCGGCCTGCTTGCTTTCGGAAGTTTTTGTCTTCTCCTAGAATCGTGCTTGCAGACCCCGGGATTTTTAGGGGCTTGCCTGTGGGCCTGGCTTGAGGGATGGGACAAGGGCGGCCTCACGTAAAGATCTGGAGCCCCTTTCCTGCCTGTTTTGTTTGTTTGTTTCTTCCTCTGTTACCGTTTCCTGGCACTTGGAAGCCTTGGAGTCTGGGTTCAAGTTGAGTAGGGACTTCCAGAAGACCAGGTGGCTTTGGGGGCTGGGAGAAGAGCAGGCAGGCAAGCAAGGGTGCCAGTGGGCTCCAGCCTACTGTGGGAAAGAGATTGACAGCCGGCGCGGGGGTGCTGAATAAGAGGGGTGTCTGTATTGGTTACTTGTTGAAATTCCCATAAAATTGAACAAGGCTCTGCTCTCAGTGGGTTAAGTCAGGCTAAAATCCTCTCTGGTGTGGTCCTGCCGAGACTGTCTTTGTTTAGTTAACCTCTGAGACCCGCATTTAAAAGGCCTATTTGGGAAATTTCTCTGTTCAGGGAACCAACATCTTTTGCCCATTTCTGGGCTTCCTTTCTCCCCTGATGTCCTTGTTGCACACGACATCATGAACATATAAAGTATGCATTATTCTGTGAACGATTTTCTAATCAGGGAGGGAGGTAATGTGAGGCAGAACACCTTTGGGCCCAGCCTTTGACAGGCAGACTTCGGATTTTAATCTGCAGCCCAGTCCTCCTTAGGGGTTAATAAGGGTTTATTTTTCAGATAAAGCTGGCCAAATATTCAAATTCTCTCTACCCCCCCAATCTCTCCTCCCACCTTTCACTGCTTTCCACAAGTCAATAAATTTTCATAATCTGTAACCCATACAATTTAAATCAGCCACACTACAAGTAGCCTCCAGGCACATTTCTCAGGGGATTTACAGCAGAGTTCTCAGGTTCTGCTGCCTGGGGACATTCATGTGTCACCAACCGCGGTCCATACTGCATGTGGGACTCCTCAACAGCCAGTGCCCCCTCCACTGACAATGTTCCTCCAGTGAAAGACCCTGGGACCCCATTCTGCTTTTCCCTCTGCCTTCCCTGTCCCCTCCTCTCAACACTTGCTGAGTTAAGAAATCCTCCCCCCCCAAACACACATACACTCCAAGATACAGAACTGACATTTACTTTTTGACAAAGGCACAGAAAAATGAACTTTAAAAAAAAAAGGACAAGAAGAACTAGAACCAAACACAACTCCTTGGTCAAGGTCCCCCAAAGGCCACATGCTTTCTCTCAAAACTAAATCAGGCCTGAATCAGGAAATCCAAAGCCCATATAGAGACATCCATGAGGCCAGAAAGGCAGGCGACTTTGCACCATCATCCTAGAAGCTAGAAGCTGGGCAATTCTGGAGGCCCTGCTCCTGGCTATGGGCACCTGGGAGAGCAGTGAGACCCAGATCTCCGGCATCCCCACAAGAATAAGGCGCCAGCTTTCCCCAGCATCCGCTCCCCCACATGCCCTCAGACCCGAAGCTTTGTTGTCCCAGAGGGAGTGGCAGTAGCCGCTGGCTGGACCTAGAGGCATAGATGTAGGCCCGCAGAGGACCACTCTGGTCGCGATGCGTTACCTGAGAGGTCCTCGCGGGCATTCTGGTGCAAGTAGCTCTGCTCCAGCGAGTAGGAGGACATGCTGGAGTGCAGGCCTGCAGAGGCCGCGGGGTTGCTGCTTGGCGTCAGGGCGGGCGGCTGCTTGAGGTAAGGCGAGGCGCCGGGCGAGCTCCAATGCGCCGCAGGACTCGTGTAGGGCGAGTGGCACTCGATGGCGCTCGCCATGGCTGGGGATGAGGGCACTGGGCTGCTGCTGCTGTCCGGCCCATAGTCCCCGCCGCCGCCGCCACCACCACCGCCGGCTGCACCGACGCCTCCGGGACCCGGGGGCACGGGGCAGCTGGCCATGTAGGTGGAGCCCGGGTTGGGCGACATGTGTGGGACGTGGTGGTGGTGGTGGTGGTGCGGATGCGCGTGGCCGGGGGCTCCTGCGCCGGCATCATAGCCTGCGGGCATCATGTCGAGGCCACCGTAGCCGCCCTGGCCGTGGCAGCCAAGAGGCGCCGACGGGGGCGCCTGGAAGTCGAAGCCCTGGGGCAGCAGCGAGGCCCCAAAGCCCAAGCCGCTCACCACGCGATGGTACATGGGCTTGAGCGCCTGGCACTTCCGCCTGAATCCGCGCGGCCGGCGGCGGAAAGAGCCCTCCTCGAACATAAACTCGCTGGCCGGATCGATAGTCCAGTAGTGGCCCTTGCCGGGCCGTCCGAGGCCCTTGGGCAGCTTGATGAAGCACTCGTTGAGAGAGAGGTTGTGGCGCACCGAGTTCTTCCAGCCCTGGTAGGCGCCGCGGAAGAAGGGGAAGCGCGCCTGCAGGAACTGGTAGATCTCGCTGAGCGTCAGGCGCTTGCTGGGGGAGCTCTGGATGGCCATGACGATGAGCGCGATGTAAGAGTACGGCGGCTTCTCGGGACGCCGTAGCCCCGAGTTCGCCTTCTTGGTGCCCCCGCTCCCCGCGCCCGAGCCGCTGCCGCCAGCCGAGCTCTTGCAGGCGGCCGAGGGAGCGCTGGCCGAGTTGGAGGAGGACGAGGCACAGGAGGTGGAGGACGACGACGACGAGGACGAGGTGGTCTCCAGGGCGGCGGCGGCGGCGGGGGGCGGCGGGCTCATCAAGGCGGCCTGGAGCGCGCCGGGGGCCGGGCTGCACGCGCGGCGGAGCGGGGCTGGCGGCGGGCGCGGCGGGGGCGGCGGCGGCCCGCCCTCGGTAGTCATCTGGGACCCGGGAGCGAGGCCCGGCCTGGGGGGCGGGCCCCTGGCCGGGAGCGGAGGCGCAAGAACGGGGTCGGCCCAGAAGCCGGGCGAGCGCCCTAGCCCGCCGCCCGGGCTGCAGCCGTGGTCACTCCGGGCCAGCGCTTCGGCGTCGCCTCCCTCAGCTCTTCTGGGGCTTCTGGCGGCGGCGGCGGCGGCGGGCTGGAGGCAACGCCCGGCGCATCCCTTTTCGAGGCTCGGGCCCCCGCCTTGCGCAACCTCCTCCCAGGCCGCGGAGCCGAAGCGGCCGGACGCCGGGAGGCAGCGCCCGTGAGCTACGACCGCGGCGGGGACCCCGGGGACGAACCCGACGTCTCCCTTCAGGAGCGCTTCTCCCTCTGTCTCTCGGACTTCCTCCCTCCCGCGCCCTCCCCGCGGCCGTCCTCCCTCCCTCCCTCGCTCCCTCCCTCCACCCCTACCCCGCCCTGCCCCCTTCTCGCTCCGGGCCGCTGCGGGGAGGGCGCGCTCCGGGCGTTGCGCTCACTCCTCCCCCCTCCCAACCTGGAGGCCCGCTCCCTCTCTTATCTCCTTCTTAGCTCTCCTAGGTCCCCCTCTCTCTTTTAGTTGTTCTCAGGTCCTCTTTCTCTTTTCCCACCCACCCTCTTTCAAATGGAGGGATAACTGAACAACTCACGTTTTGCTAGGAGGATGACGCCCCCTCCCCCACAAGACTACCTATGACTTCACGAAAAACGTTCCCTTTGCCCCTTCCAGCAGTCCCTACTTCCCCTCCCAGAAACCAGCTGCCCCCCTGGGAGTGGACCCACCCCTCCTTCCTCCCCCTCCCCCTTTCCTCCTCCCAGCCCGGCCCCAACCGAGTGGTGCAGCCGCGGGTGCCGCCGCCGGGAGCCGCCTTCCCCGGTGCCCGAAGTGACACCATCTGTCAACTTCATTTAGACATTGCGGCCCTCAGCCACACGCCAGGGTGCCAGACGCCCAAAGGTAAAGTGCCAATCCTCTCTTTCTGGCCGGGACTGTAGGCTCCGGACCATTGTTTTAGTAAAGGGTGAACGCCGACGCCCCAGGGTGCGGCCCTGGGCGATCGAGGACATTTTGGGAAGTTTGACCAGAGGGGTTTGGATACAGAAATCTGGCCCAGCTTCAGAGACTCTGGAAACCTGGGTCGATAGGACTCATGTTTGCATTTGATGCCACTTCCTTTTGGTTTCCCACTTCATGGTTTGTTTAGGGGGGAAAAAAAAAAGCAACCAGAAGGCCCACCCTGAGATAAGCGCGATAGCTTTATTTCAATGAAATCCCGAAGCAGCCTGCAGCTGTAACGTTCTCAGTCTCATTTCTTACCCGCCCCAAAATGTGCCATCTCTAAGTTGCCTTCTGTAAGAGAACACACCATCCCAGTTGTGGCTTATTCTCTCTGTTAGAGTCCCGGCTCTGAGAGAGATGTGCCCTCAGGAGAAATCATTTCCAATGAGACCCGACAGTTAGTTATTGGATTACACGTGTAGGGAAATGTAGTCTGACCAGGGATAGGGGCTGGAAATCGGGAGGAGAGCAGGAGGCCAGGAGCAGGCCGGGCCACACAGGGGCTGATGGGGAGGCCCAGAGGAAAGATAGGGGACCAAATGAGAGACAGAGCCTGGCACCACTGTGCATCTATCTTAAAGGATCAAGGTGAAAGGGCATCTGTTGTTGCCTGGGGAAATGGGGGGACAGAAGAAGGGGAGATGGTGCAGGGACCCAGGTAAAGAATGCAGCAAAGACCCTTCCCTGCAGCAGAGCTGAGCCCCTTGAGGCTGGCACCAGCTCTCTGTGCCCCTGGAGTGCGTCAGGGACTGATCCTAGCTGGGAGTACTGGTGGGTCTGTAAAAGCAGAGGAAAGAGGGGGTGGGGAGGGGGAGGGGGGTTGGGCTGGGGCTGGCCCCAGACAGTGACCTGAAGTTGAGTGGAAGCAGGCTTTTTCCATCAAACCCTGCCTGGATACCACACACAGAGACCGAGTGTCAGTTTACTGCCCTGAGCCGGGCTCCTTTTCCCTAAGCTCCACAGTAATTAGACAAAGAAAACCTAAATTAGCTGAACAGGCGTCGACAGCTTCCTCCAGAGCACCCCTGGTACCTACATGGGAATGTGTCCGAAAATGGCCTGATTGTAGCCAAAAGTCAGCTAAGAAAACACCACCAAACCGAACTCAGTTTACCACTCATTTCCAAGAGAAAAAAGAAACAAGTCGCTCTTTTCCGGAAGGGATGTTTTGATTGAGTTGGAGTGGGGGGTTTGCAGTTGTTTCCACTTTCTAACATTTTTTTTTCTAACTAACTGGTAAGCATTTGATGGGGACAGGTCCCCATTTATTCCATTCATTTTCCCCCCTCTTACTGTCTTTTGTCATTTTGTGTGAAATAATTTTAAAAAGTAATAACTAAATATGGAAGTAAAAACGTGCTCACTAAGTCTGAAAATGTGCTCTAAGTGTCTGAAAATAAATAAAATATAATCTGGAATGGGGAGGGTGGTAGTAATCTTCCTAGGTAGGAGGGACATCCAAGAGAAGAGTGGAAGAAGGAAGACTTTTTTTTTTTTTGTACGTGGGGAGAGGGACATTGTATTTGGGGAGCATTCATCAAGTAGATATCATTGTCATTTAGCCACAGACCCTCTCTGATTTTCTGCACCTAGGAATTCTAAGTGGCCCAGAGTATTGAGTGTGTGGGGGGGAGTACCTGCTTTAAGACAGGCCTGAAAAAGTTGTAAGACCCCAGGACTCAAGAATAAAATTGAAACCCCAGGCAGGACCAGAACCTTCTATGCCGGCCATGGAGCATTTTAAGAATGGACGGAAACTATGGATGGAGCCTGTCTCCACACACACATACAAAAATACTTTGTGCTTGCTTAGGATTTTAAAATCCACATTCTACATATTTTGTTTTTAGCTTTTACTAATTCAACTTGTTAAATCATGAAGGATTTTTTTTTTCCAGGCTTCCTTCTCCATCCAAATAGCAATGATATCCATTTTACCAAAATTCTCTAAACTTTCAAGAAATCCCACTTATATTTTGGTGAGTGTCACAGGGCCCCAGGCAGCTCCTGGAAAGGCAGTGAGCACTGACCAACAGAGCCTGGGTGAGTTCTGCTGTCTTGAAGTCTACTTTCTTTCCAGGGATCTAAATACTACCCTCTAGAAGGATGTGGAGCTTGGTGACCTTCAATTTTCGAGCAGGAAAAGTTTCTCTCCAGAACTCTTTCTTTGGAGCCCCCACTCTGATCATGCCCCTGGCAGAGGCTGCCTAAGATGACTTGCCATAAATCATCCATGGGCAAGTGATACAGCTGACCTATAGTGGGTGTCCAGGGCTCCAAATTCAATGCTTTAAAAAACAAAAAACAAAAAACACATTGCAGCAAAATTTCTCTGTGCTTTGTTTTTATCACTGATTGGTATGAATTTATTGGGTAAGAATGATTGTGATAACAAATTAGACCAAATTATTTTTGCCTGGCAAGAATATAACTTTGTTTAGTAGGCAGGGTTTATTTATTTGTTTATGATTTTGGTGGTGTTGGTGATTGAACCCAGGGCTTCAGATGCATGTTAAGTAGGCTCTCTACCACCAACCCAGCCGACAGAGTTTAAGAGGAAACCTGTGTTTGTCTCGGAAGCACAGCCTTGCTTGGGTCAATTTTCCTCTCTAGGAGGTCCCTTATGATGGTGAACTCTCCTCCAATGACTTTAACTCCTTATAAGCAACAAAAAATCTTGATCCGCCCCCCCCTACGGAAAAGAAAGGTATGGTTCATTTAAATAATTCTAGATCAGCCCAGGCGCTTCTTGGTTAACCAGAAATATACAGCCCCAGGGTCGATCGGACCTTTTCTCCATCCGGGAGAAAAGGTCTAGGGCTGTGGGTTCCTTTCCCGCTCCCAAAACTTTAGATCCCACCCCTGCCCCAGCTCAAGGGAATGTAAACTTCGGGAAGCTTGGGTTTCTCCGATTTTGCTCTGTAATCAGTGTTTTATTCTAGGAAATCTCTTCATTATTGCGGTTTAAATCTTATGTTCTTAGCACGCTTCCTCTGCTTCGTGGGTTTTACATGAAATGGCTTAGACTAAACCGGTTACCGACGGGAGAGACGCATCTGCTTCGACAAAGTTTACAGCCATTTAAGACACTGTTGGGGTAGTTCGCGCTCGGCGGCACCCCCCCTTCCTTCCGCCTGGGCTAGGGAGGAGGAAAATCTCTTCCCCAGGTCTGTCTGAAACTGGCTACGGTTTTCACCCTGGGTTTAGGAACTCTGTTACTAATACGGGGGCATAGAGGATTCCCGAACTCCTTGGAGACCTTTCTAAATTTACACGGTAGGAGCTCATTGTTGGGGTTTAGGGATATCAGCGCAATTGTGAAAAGGACCGAAATGCACCACTATGCCTCCTGCAGAGACCTCTATAGAAACTTAAAGTTATCATAGAAAATTTGGCCGGGAACAGCATTAGGCTGTCGCTCCAATTCAGGGATTAGAGAGGGGAAAGTGGCTAGGAGGGGTAACTGGGAATTTTACACCTCTCCTGGCGTCTGCTCGCCTTCCTCGGTCCAGAACCCCCCAGACCTCCGGGTTTGAACAACAGCCACCCAATTCTGAATGTTTATTTGGATCGATTCTTCCGCTCTCCCAACGTTTATGTCCTGGGCAGGCATTTTTTTTTTTTTTTAATAGCCACCTTCCTGAGAGATCTGCTGATAGCCCCCATATCTTCTGGGCTGGGCTGTAGGCATGACTCCGTGAACCACTTGGCCAAGTCTGACGGTGCTTGCTGAGGGAGGAGAAAGATCCAATCTGCCAGACCCTCTATGCAAAGACCGGGCTTCTTCCACACTTTCCAGATTGCAAGGCCAGGAACTCATCAGCTGGGAGAGCAAACTTTCGGGGTGCTCGCAGGAACCAGCCCACCGGCCTGCAGTGCACCCCAGTCCAGGTGCAGGTACAGCAGTACCAGGTGGAGTACCATTTAGACTTCATCCACAGCCTGCTGGTGTTGAAGGGTCGGGCTGCCAGGGGGCGTAGAAGAGGGTTTCTATGGCGAGAGCAATTTGCTCCAAATAAAAGGCAGGGGAGAAAAGGCCTGGGTTGGAGCAGATCTGTCTCTGAGACTCTAAAGGGCGGCAGAACGAGTGGTCGCCCAGAAGAGAAATAAAATAATAGGGAAATCTGCACCGCATGTTCTTGCAATCAAGTATGGGCCCTGGTGACCGTCCGCACGTTAATTTTGTGTCCATTGTGCAGCTGGGAGGGAAGAAAATCAGCTTTAGGGCACAGGACCAAACTTTGAAGATGAAATAGATCCCGGAGGAGCCAGGCTGCGCTGTCTTGGGAG